TAGAAAGCTCAGCCCTAAATGAAACATCTATACCACACCCCTCCTCCCAAGGCTCAGGGATCATTGTGGACCAGAGAATAGAAAGAGTGTAAGAGTTGGCAGTGGATAACCATAAGGAAGTTGTCTTCTGGATAAAGCAAAGAAGCTGTACAGATGGACTCACAAGATGTGTGCAAACTCAAGCCAAACCAAACACCTTAATGGAAAAGGGAGTTGGCAGGAAGGTCCACACATAGCTAAGGAGGTATTGGCAATTAATAGTCTCTGGGAGAGGGAGAGGCAGTTTTCTCTAAGATTATAGCCCCTTGTAAGTTGACCATGCTCTAGTAGAAGGCCATACATCCAAGAATATTTGGGCTGTACAAACAGGCCTTGATAAGTTAACAAAAAAGACACAATGTTGGGTGGGTAGGAAAGGGTAGGGATGGATCTGAGAAAAGCTGAATAGTAAGTATGACAAAGCATATTGTATGGAAATGAAACTCTCAAGGAATATACACACCTTATTCATTGCAGAAGAGGGCAAACAAGCAAGGACTGTAGCTGAGGATATCCATTGCTAATAGCTCAGAAAGAAAGGATTTCTGCCCCACCTTAACCCCAACACACACATACTTACTGGAGAGAGTGACACCATCTAAGTCTAAGCAAATTCTTCAGATGTCTTCTGTCTGGAGTCCTAAACCTCAAAGAGCTTTATTCTAACACACAAAGGAATTTTCCTACAGCCTTTTTCATCCATATAATTACACAGTATTTATAAAATCCCTATCTCCCAATGGTGGCTGTATGTTCAAATTAGAAATGTGTGTAAGGACCTATGGGAAGCTAACTCATGCCTGGCACTGAGAATTTCCTTTATTAACCCAGGCATTTTGGAAGCAGCTTTTTCCACCTATGCAGGGTACCTCTGGTCAATATATAAATTATCTTATGGAGGGTTATAAGACCCCATCCTTAGTGGAGGAGCTATTGGCAATTGATGCCTGGTAGGGAAGAGAGTCACGAGTCATGTTTCCCGAGGAGTGGGACCTCTGGTAGATGACCTACTCCCAAATGTATGGGCGGCACTTATTAAACTCAACTGGGCAATGTGCAGAGAGTGGGAGACTGCAGCACTCAGTCCTTTGACGTCTTCATCAAGGCCCTCCCCTCTATGTGGATCTATATGGAAGAGGAAAATTTTAAGAGCCAGAGATGGTGAATGACTCTCAGGAAACAGTGCCAAACAGACACTGATGTACACATGAATTCACAGGGACTGTGACAAGAATACACAAGACCTGTAAAGATTTCTCCCAGAACAGAGAAGGGGAAATGGGCACAAAGTCCCACCCCTAACCAAGAAACTATTTGCAAATACTATCTTCTGGGAAAGGAGTGTCGTTTGGTCTATCAACCACACTCCAGACCCAATCCCAGGAGCAGCAGTTCAATGCAGAAAAGACTCCATGGTTTTTGTTTGCTTTTTTTCTTATTTAGTTGTATTGTTTTTGTTATGTTTTGCTTTTGTCTTAATGGGTTTTTCATTTGTTTGTTTTGATTTGTGGGGTTTTGTGTTGTTATTTGTTTTCTTTTTCTTTTTTGGAGAGAGAAAGAACAGGAAATTGGGTGGGGAGGTAGGTGGAGAGAACCTGGGAGGCATTGGGGGAGGGGGAAGAATATCAAAATACATTATGTGAAAAAATTTTAGTAAAATTATAAATTAAAAAAAAAGAAAAAGAGGACATAAAATTGGGAGAGAGTTGTGTTGGTGGAGCCAGTAGGGACAACGGGGTAGATATGATCAAGAGACATTGAACACACACATGAGATAGTAGTTTTAAATGTAAGAGGAAAATTTTTCAGAAAAGTCGCTTTGAAGAGTGTAATAAAATTAGGAAACAGACAAAAATAATTTAAATCCTTTCAGTTCTCCATATACATGCAGATGGGAGTGGTATATCGCTCACATTCTGGACATTGACTAGGTATTCTCTTAACAGAATAAACGTTTTTCACAGAAGTGCAATGTACATATTTGACTTTCTTAAAGCATTAGAAACAGCTGCACAAAGCTTTCTCAGAATTCTATGCACATGGATTAGACAGAAGGAGAACAGCACATTACAGGTGAAAACTCAGTTAAGTATATCGAACGCTGACAACTTATTAATAGTGTGATGTCAAAAATCGAGTATCTCTTGCATGCAGCTCATGAGAAACCATCCTGGGGCTGATCCTGCTCCATATTTCCTATTGATAGCTCGAGGATGGTGCTACGTGTGCACTAATCAATCTGGAGAATATGCAGCTCTGGGAGACATGGCTGATGCGTTATAGACGACACTGTTAAAATTCAGGATGGTCTTGCACAGTCAAAGAAATGAGTTGAAATCGATAGAGCAAGCAGACACAGTCCTGCTGATGTTTCACATCACAGGACTCCAAAGCTCCCAACTAGAAAGCAAGACACACTGACAAGTAAACCCTAAGTGCTCCAATTTCCCCTGTCCTTGTTCCCTCACAGCCACAAGGCTATCCAGACATGCTTAGGACTTGCCCTCCACACATAATTTACGCCTGTGACCTGCGGTTTTTCCATTCTCCCCCTCAGGGTCCTGCAGTGAGGGGAGTGAGATGACGGATTTGGGGTGACACAATGATAGAGCTCACACTGAAGAGTGACAAGTGTAGATTATACAACATCAGAAACAGGGGAAAAAATATAAAACAGGATCCTTACAGGACAGGAAGCAAGAGTAATCTTTTTTCTAAGTGTGGCATCATATTTTCCCCCAGTGAGCAAGCAACAACCAAGGCTGGCCACTTTTCCCTTCCCATTTTCAAAGTCCCCCCACCACATCTGCTCTCACTCGTTGAATTCTTCATCATATGGCACCTAGACCACAGCCAGAGTCTTAGAGGTTTTTTGCTCTCAATTCTCTTGGATCTATCCTTCACACCATTGTCTGTGTGGTCCCAGGAAAATACAAGAGACCTTGAATCCTCCTTGTTCACAGCATTTTAGGCCCATCAGCCCCCACAGTTCTCTAACTTGACACACGAATGTCCTCAGTGGCTCTTCTACCAGGAACTTCACCAGCTTCCTGTTGGGGCCATTTCTAGGTGTCTCATTGTCTAGGTAATGGTTCTCACCTGTGGGCTGCAAACTCTTGGGGGGGGGGGCTGTTAAATGATCTTTTCAAAGGGGGCACTAAAGACCCTTGAAAATATCCAATATGTATAGTATGACCTATAACAGTAGCAAAGTTATCATTATGAAGTAGCAATGAAAATAATGTAATAATGTTATGGTTGGGGGTCACCACAACATGAGGAACTGGATTAAAGGGTCACAGCATTAGGAAGTTGAGAACCACTGGTGGAAAGGATGTAACTAGCATTTGGGGGCCAGAGATGCTACACAAACTAGACAATAACCTGCCCCACCCAGTTTGCCACTGATACCCCATTTGAGGAAAGCTCCTCAGGGCCCTGCTTACTTCCGGAGCCTTCTGGCTTATTTCTCCCTCGAATCTATGTAAGGAACACTCCCCAGCACCCGCTGTGCTCTTTCCTCGCCTGGACACCTTGTGCCAGTGAATTCGGACACCTGGAATAACTTTCTTCATTTTACTAACTCGTTTTTGTCAGCTTCAGCTCAGGTGTCCTCCACCAGGAAGAACCTCACACAGCCTGACTGACACGCTTCTTTCTCAGAAAGCAGTGGGGCTTTCTGATGGTGCTACACTCTGCGCTCAGTACTCAGCTTCCTAAGTATTGGTTTATCTCTCTTTATTGTGGTCATTTGATGTAGAGAATGAACTAGACCTTATATAGAAATCAATGTTTTGGTGAGGTGAAGGAATCAGTGTCAGCATACAATATACCCGATTGCCCAAGTTTACCTAGCCTCATTTACCATTGCCAAATCCTAGAGTCAACCTAAGTACCTGTCTGTGGATGAAAGATAAAGAAAATGTGGTAGAAATACTATAATAGATTATCTTTCACCATAAAGAACAAAATTGTGTCATTTTTAGGACACTGGGTTGAATGGGAAAATACAATGTCAAGTGAAATAAGTGAGCCTTAGTTAAACAAATGTCAAATGTATATTCTCACATGGAGAATCAAGATTAAAAAATATAAGCATGAAAATGGAAGGAATATTTGGGAAAAGGAAAAGGACCAGGAAGACTAGACGGAGGGGCCATGGGGTTAATGGGGGAAGGAGTTAATATGATAAAAGTTTATTGTATCCATACATAAAAATATTAAAATGAAACCCTATGGGGATATTTTATTTGTGCTGAAATGTGATTTTATTTGTATGTTAATAAATAAAGTTGCCTGGAGATCAGAGGTAAAAGCGAGCCATTAAGCAGAAGTCCGGTGGTGGTGGCATGTGCCCTTAATCCGATCACATGGCAGGCAGAGTCTCTGTGTGTCAAGGACACAGCCAAGTGTGGTGACCCAAACCTTTAATCCCAGTACCAACCATAGAGACCTGGAGGTCTGTATACACAGGCAGTGACTAGGAAGTCATGTGGTTGGGTTTGGAGCCAATGAGAAGGCAGAACAGAAAGGCAATAAAAGGACAAGTCACACAAGAAGAAGGTCTCTCTCTCTCTTGAGGGAAGCGAAGGCGGCGAGGTGGTCAGATAAGGTAGTTGTGGCTCTTGCTCTGATCTCTTTGATTTTAACTCTGTATTTGGCTCTGTTTCTTATTTACTAAGGCTGTTTAGAATTTCATCTATAAACCCCATTATTCTGTACAAGGTAAGAGATTGGAGGGGGTATATGTGGACAGCTGGGTAAGACAAAGAACTTTTCAGATACCCATGTTATGGTAACAAATACAAGTATTATTTTATACCTCAAGGGGCAGTTGGTGGGGGTGAGTTGGGGTTTCAGATCATTCTGTGCTGTACCCGTCACTTTGTGCCCTTAATCTTTGGTCTCTAAACATTTCTTCAAAAGGTGCCAGACAGTACCCCGCAGGAGTTTCCACTCACCCATACTGAGGACTGGGAAGCATGAGGAGCAGTTTGACAGGCAGTTCTCTTTCTCCGGTCTGTGTCCAGTCTGCTCAAGAACTCAGCAGTTTTGCTACCGGGAAAACAAAGAGGTGTTAGTGCTCCAAAAGACTAGAAGTAGCCCTGTTTACTGTGCCTTTGGACCCCAGCCTGGCTTTTCATGGGGTGGTGCCTAAAAATAACCTAGGGAGAACAAAAGGTGGGGGATCATGGTGCCGTAGGAAATCAAAGCTAAGTGCTTTTGCAAGACCGCATCCTGAAGAGCATATGTTTTAAAAATATAAAATTAGGTTTGTGAAATGTGAACCTGTTATTTCAGATTTTACACTTGGCATTATCGACGGAGATAAATCCTCCCCGTGACTTCACAGGATGGTGCTTAATTTCCTCTGTGTATATCTCGAGTTTGACAGCAGCCGTCAGTACAGACCTGTGGGACACTAATCCCAGACAACATCTCACTCCACTTCAGCTTTACATTAAGCCCTTAACCCTCCAGGGGTCTTTCTCTAGTCATCTCAACTCCCACAGAGCTCTGACTACTCACAGGACACACAGAGCCCATAGGCCAGCAGTTCTCTCCCATTTAGGGACTGTGAGTGCTTCAAGATTCTGAAACAGAAATAGACCTTCTATCCAGACACAGAAAGACATCCCCACAACACACACACACACACACACACACACACACACACACACACACACACACACACACACATCTCTGCATTTGATTCAAGGAAAGAGATGAATTTCCTTCTTTAGAGGTTCAAAGTGCCACTTGGACTGAGGAGATGACTCGATCAACAAAAGAGCTTGCTGTGCAAACACCGGGTGTTGAGATCAGACTCCCAGGAACCACATAAAAAGGTGGGCATGGTTGTCAGAATTCCTGGCCACTCCCCCATGACCGCTCATGTGCTGGCAGGATGCTTAGGCATCCCAGGGCCTTACGGCCTCTGTAACCTGTGTGCTGCATGACCACGTAACTTGAGCGCAGCGCATTCACATAATCTATGCGCATGCGTGGTGTAGCTACGCAAGCCCATATGCGCAAGTGCAGGGGGAATCTATAAAAGCGGGTTCCACATATTCCCTCCCCATCTTCCTGCACCATCTCTCCATAGGCCTAAGCACCCACTTCTGTTCCCTCTCCTTAATAAACTCTTATAGTGGGTTTTGTTGTGCCTCGTGACTTTTCTCGCAAGGTAAACAGCGCCACTTAATGAATAACATTGGTGACACCCACCTGTGGTGCTGGCAACTCAGAAACAGGAGACTCCCTGGGGCTTGCTGACCAGCCAATCTAGCCAAATCAGTGAGTTCCAGAGTCAATAAGAGGTTCCAGCTTAAAACATATAAGGTGATATATTGTTCGAAATTTAAAATGTTTTTTTAATAAAAATAAAAAATAAAAATAAATTAACAGGAGCCAAATATTGGAGTAAATGCTGAAAGACCAGAGAGACAAATGAACAAGCCACGGCCACATCTCCACCATTCCTCTGACTGAATTCCTCCGAGTCCTCAGCCAAAAGGGTCCCAGCCAAAAGAGCCTCTAGCTGAATGGGACGCTTCTGCCGAAAAGCCTTTAGTTCCTGTCTCCTCACGCCTTATATACCTTTCTCCGCTCAGCCATCACTTCCGGGAATTAAAGGCGTGTGTGCTTCCGGATTAAAGGTGTATGCCACCACTGCCTGGCTCTGAGTCAATCTCATATAGTCCAGGGTGGTGTTGAACTCACAGAGATTCAGACGGATCTCTTCCTCCCAAGTGCTAGGATTAAAGGTGTGTGCCACCACTGCCTGACCTCTATGTTTAATCTAGTGGCTTGTCCTGTTCTCTGATCTTCAAGTAAATTTTATTAGGGTCCACAATATATCACCACAGTGATAGCTGTGTGTGATGGCCCACGCCCTTAATCTCAGCACTCCTGAGGCAAAGACAGGAGGGCCTCTTTGAGTTGGAGGTCACCCTGGTCTACGCAGCAAGTTCCAGGCCTCCTAGGGCTACATAGTGAGACCCTGTGTCATTAATCAATTGATCAATTAAGGAAAAGAAGTAACAGAATAAAACACACAAAGTTGACCTCTGACCTCCACCTGCATGCATACATGCATCTACGTACACATGTTAACATGCACAATTGCATACATACAAGTGTGTATAGCACATACCCAAAGGTACACAATACTGCTGACTAGACATGTACTGGGCCTGTAATAGGGCCTCTGTTTTTTCCCCAGTCCAAATCCCCATTCAGTTTCTCTTCTCACCTATGCCAAGCACAGAACACTGGGATTACTTCCTAGTCCTTACTTCAGGTGCTGCTGCACTCTGCCTTACCGTAGACTAACTCGGTTTTTTTTTTTTTCCCTTCCCCTATGTAACCTCCAGAATTTTTACTTCCTACTCCACCTTTATAACCAAACACCTCAAAGAAGCCTGATTTATATTGCTCCAGACTCCTGTCGTCTGCTCCCATTTTCCTCCTCCTTTCCACTCTTTCCTCTGCTGATACCGAAACTAAGATTCAGGTCATCGAGTACCTAGGACATGGGCATCTCAGGAAGCACAAGGGTCTAATAGGAAGCAGGGGCACGCAGTTGGTGGGGAGGGGAGACAAGTCAAGGAATTAGAAACGAAACAGAGATACCCACATCATGGTGAATAGATTCTTGGGTAGAACGTGGCGTTTAAGCGAAGTTAGAAGCCCAGGCTGAGCAAGGAAGTGCAAACGAAGTACACAGCCCAAGAAGCACGAGACTTCGCCATGACAGCAAGCAGCCTGTCCACTAGCCCAGGATGAACCACCTTGCCCAGAATAGGCAGAGGCCAATGACATCGCATGGCCTGACTTTTTGAAATCAATAAATGTGAAATAGGAGAGCGTCCTATTTTGTAGAATGCACTTAACATTCTTACTGATGGGTATTTATGTGGCCCTAGGGAACATCAGAGTATATGGCATAAAAGGGTTAAACTACCAGCTTTATATTATGTTTAAATTATTACTGTAATTATGAAGTCATCCTCACTGAAAACTATAAACGATGAATGGTCCCCACCCCACCCCCAGTGGTTCTAGCGCTGTTGGGAGGGGGCAGTTCTACCTGATCTTTCCTTCCTTTAGCTAACACACAGACTCAGTTGCCTGTGGGTCCAGACAGGTAATGTATGTGAGTAAAGAAAACAGGGGATTCGACATAGCAGTAAGTGGTATCTGCCAACGGAGTCAAAGACAGGGAGAACACTGATCATGTTGGGGTGGGGGGCAGTGACAACTAGAAAATTATTTCCCATGCAAGGGGGTCAGTTGCTACTTAGCGGCAGACCAGCATTGCCAATGGGCAGCAAGCCAGCAATGGCAAATGGCCCAGGCTTTACTGTTGTAACCAAGATGCTGAAATTCTTAATGTGAAATAATTTGGCAATTAATTTAAAAAGTTTGAAAACTTTGCAGGCTTACCCTGCTGGCCCCGAGCAAACCATGAAACCAGCAAAACAAAACGAAGCCCTCTGCAAGCCAGATGTGGTCCCAAGGGCTCTTTGCCATGGCTGAATCATTGCTTCTGCCTGATCATGTTTGTGTTGTTGACAATACAGTTATTTCATAACTATAGGCTCTTTATCTTTAGGCTAAAAAATATAAGGAAGAAGGGCCGATATACTGCTTTATATGTGCCAGCTAAGAGACATCATACCATATATCATATTTATGCCAAATACTAAGGTGTATCATTTTTATTTACACTTACAGTTCTGTGTATTTGTGTTAATACACGAAAAGCAAACACTAGATATAAAGTAAAAAGGAAAACCACAGAAAATATTTATGACCAAAGAAAGATAATAAAAGGGTTATTGTGCAAAATGTATGAAGAACACTGGTAAATCAAATTTCAAAAAGACAAAGAGCCCAAGCTACGAGTGGGTAAGAGATAAAAATGTACACTTCACTGAAAAAGAAACGCAATTAATAACACAAATGGCAACAATGGTTTAGGGTTTTTATATATATATATATAATATCACGTGTGTCAAGCCCTGTTGAGAGACCCTTACTTCTACAACTTCGTGACAACCTTGCAAAGATTTTTATCATCTTCAGTTCACAGAGGCAACTAGCTCAAGGCCACACAATCAGCAAATATCAGAACCAGGACTCAGACCCAGACATCCCAACTGCAGAGGCCATACTTTCAGCCAGGACACTTGACTGTTCCTATGGAGGAATGCGCAGGTGCACAGATGCTCCATCTCAGTAACAACTGAGAACGGGAAAATTAAAACAAGACAACTACCACACAAGCCAAAAAATACTTTTTGCGTGTGGAAAATTGCCCCGTGCTAAGGAGAATATCTGGCAGAACTTCTCTTACAAATTGCTGATAGGAGAGCAAATTGGTCACCCGGGAAAGAAATTTGACAACACCCGGTGGAGCCGAAAACATGTGCAATGTCTAGATGTTTGACAATAAGGGGACTCTTGACAACTAAGGAGAACTGAGAAAGGACACAGAACCCAGCACCATTTGTAAGTATCCCAGACAAGGAAGGAAAAGAGAGGAGAAAGGGTAGGGGGGGACTGGAAGTAAGAAGGAAATGGGTTAATTTCCATCACGAATCCTTTGGAGTGGCTTTCCTATCTGAGAACTGATCTGATGTTCTCACCTTAACAGTTATCATGGAGTGATCCAGCTATACAAAGATGTGTTCTATGTTGAACATCTGCATCTGATTCTTGCAAAATAATGATGTAACCCACAAATTAACCACATCTCCCCCCAACTCAGTGAAAGACTCCTTCCCCTTTTCCAGGCACAGCTCCTTCCTCTGGTTGCTATATCACCCCTACACTGACAATTTATCAAGATACCCAATCACAAAATGCCCCTGCGTCCTTATGCCACCTTCTGTCATTTTAGACTCTTCCCCTAATTACCTAACCAAAGTTCAGATCCTATACTTGGCTCTTTCGGATGGTTTTCCCTCCTCATACTTCACTATTCTCTATAGCATTCATTTTGCTTTGCTTCAACAATAAACACAATTTGTTCACCTACAGGTGTGTCT